AGGCAAACAGACTAAGAATCCTTAGGGGAATTTGCCAAATACATCACGTTCCTCAGATCTGTAGATCCCATCTTAGATGTCATTCCAGGGAGAGGCAGGGTTGATTTCTTTGTAGCCTCAAAGTCCCAGTGATCCTCCTGCCTCAACTACAGTCATACACTTCCACACGTGGACTTTTTGTTTGTTTTGGAACTGGGGTTCAAGCCTAGGTCTTACCCATGCTAGGCAGATGCTGGACCACTGAGCTGCATCCGAGGCCCTGGGAATGTTTCTGATCGCTGTATCTCAGACAAAACTGTCTCTACCTCTGTTCAGAGCACCCTAGTCCTTTTCTTTTCCGTGTTTGCTATAATTATTTTATCTCTTTTTAAAGATTTATTTTATTATGGGGGGTATGTACAGGTGCTCCCTGAGGCTAGTACTGGATCCCCCAGAAGCTGGAGTTTCAAATGGTTGTGAGCCTGCCAGGTTTGGTGTTTGGAATTGAACGTGGCTTCTTTTCAAGAACAGTGCAGGCTCTTAATCACTGAGCTACCTTTCCAGTCCCTCCCCCACTCCTTTTTAAGTATTTTATTTATTTTTTTTAAATCCCAGCACTTGGGAGGCAGAGGCAGGTAGATCTCTGTGAGTTCAAGGCCAGCCTGGTCTATAGAGTGAGTTATAGGACAGACAGTACTACATGGAGAAACCTTGTCTCAAAGAAATTGTTTTTTTAAGTTTTATGTGTGGGGTGTTTTGTCTGCATGTATGTCTATATCATGCGCATACGGTGCTCACATAGTCAGAAGAAGGCGTAGGATCTTCTGCAACTGGAGCTACAGACAGTTGTGAACTGGCAACTGTCATGCCAGTGTTGAACCAAAACCCTGGTCCTCTGGAAGAGCAGCCAGTACTCTTTACCACTGAGCCCCTCTCCAGCCCCCAGGTCCCACTTTCAAATTTCAAAAATGTATTTATCATGAGAGTATGTGTATGTATGATGGTACATGTGTGGAAGTCAGAGAAAAACAACTCTGGAGTTTTCTCTCTGTCTACCTTTGTGGGCTGTGGGGATCAAACTCAGCTTGCTAGACTTGCATAGGAAGCAACTTTACCTGATAAGCCGTCCCGTAAGCCACTATCTTTTTTTCTTTTTTTTTTTTTTTTTTTTTTTTGTCTATCTCCTACCACCAGAACAAAAGTTGAATGAGAGATTGTTTCCTGGGGCTGGAGAGGCTGGGTGTTTAAGATCACTTTCTGCTTGGGGAGACGACCATCTGGAACTCCAGTTCCAGGGGCCCTCTGCCCTCTTGTGGCCTCTACTGGGCACACAGGCGGGCACATACATTCATCTGTGGGCTGGAGAGCATTTCCTGGTTTGAGCACAACCCCCAGCAGAGTGCTGCTGTGTCTTTGCAAACATTCCCTGTTGTATTAATCCACAGGGCAGGAGAAGACAGTAGCCAGAGGCAAATTATAAAGCTGAGAATTAGTGTTAAGATCTTGGACCCACTGCCAGGGGCCTCATATATAGTTTCCCAGTCACACTACTGTTTTTAGTGGAGCCCATTCTATATGGAGAGATACCTTGCTCAACTTGGACACAGGGGTGTCGAGGGAGAGGTGCCTTGGTCCTGCCTCAAGAAGATGATGGAATAGACTTAGTAGACTTCATAGGGGAGGCCTTACCCTCTCTAAGGAGCAGATGGGAGATGTGGGGAGGGGTGGGGGGAGTGGAGGAGCAGAAGCAGGAGGAAAAGAGGGAGAACTGGGATTGTAATGCAAAAAATAAATTAATAATCTTTTTTTTTTCAAGACAGAGTTTATCTGTATTGTTTTGGAGGCTGTCCTAGAACTCACTCTGTAGACCAGGCTGGCCTCAAACTCACAGAGATCTGCCTGCCTCTGCCTCCCTAGTGCTGGGATTAAAGGCCTGTGCCACCAACACCCGGCAAAAAATAAAAAAGCTGAGAAGTTGATGTGGGTTGTAGCCTTGTCTGTGCTGTCACTTAGACTAGCCCACCTTGTTCCTTAGGTGGGTCTGCCAGCCAAGTCAGCTGTGTCAGGAGCCATCCTCCTGGTTGTTCCTAATGTCATGGGGATGATGTGTCTGTCACCTCCGTTAGACAAGCTGGGGAACAGCCAAAGAGGCATCAACTTCTGCCAGGTAAGGTTTTCTGCATATAGTACTTCATACCATTTAAGAATAAATTAATGAGCCAGGTGGTGGTAGTGCATGCCTTTAATCCCAGCATTTGGGAGGCAAAGGCAGGTGGACTCTGTGAGTTTGAGACCAACCTGGTCTACTGAGTGAGTTCTAGGACAGCCTTCAAAACAATACAGATAAACCCTGTCATCAAAAACAAAAACAAAAAACCCCAAATAAATAAATAGATCATTGTAAAGGGAAGTCTTCCCGCCAGCCTGGTTCCAGAGCCGCATCAGTCCCAAATAAACACACAGGAGGCTATATTAATTATGAAGCTGTTGGCCTTGTTTGTTTCTTACTGGCTAGCTCTGACTTAAGCATTTACCCCATAATTGTTAATCTAAGTATTTCTCTTACCGGAGAATAGTTCCGAACTTCTTATCCCTATCACTGCTACATCGTGACTCCCTGTGTTTCTCCTACCCAGAATCCTCCTCGACTCCTAGTCCCACCTATCTTGGTTCCCTATTGACCAACAGTGCTTTATTGACATATACACAGGACTTCTCCTATCAGATCATTAATTAATTAATGGTAGCCACTATAATGAAAGCAATTTTGAGCTCCTAGAAGAGGCAAGGCATAAGTAAACAATTCCTTTGGCTTCTAATTCTAGAAGCTGGTGTCTCTCTTTAACTTCCACAACTATGACAACTTGCGGCACTGTACTCGGAAGTTAGACCCTCGACGGGAAGGAGGGGAAGTCCGGGTAAGGAAAACCCCAGGTAGCCTAAAGGATATTTCAAATGAAACATCCCATAACACTTCAGCAATGTCCTGAAGGAGGGCACAGACAGAGCTGGGCATGGTTGGGTTCAAAGCCACAATTAATCCCAGGTGGGTACAATGTGTGTTCCAGAACAAGACCGTGGTGAACCTGTTATTTGCTGCATATAGTGGAGACGTCTCAGCTCTTCGAAGGTAATTCTCCTGTGAATAAATAAATGTGATAAAATACTCTGGGTCAGACATCTTATTAATCAGGACACAGCACAGCAAACTGTTTTAGGGTTAGAACAGCTAGATTGCAGTTTAAATGAGTGCATGCCTGTGTGTGTGTGTGTGTGTGTGTGTGTGTGTGCAGCTTCACATTTGTGGGTATGTGTGCATGTAGCAGCCAGAGGACAGCTTCAGGTGTCACACCTTGTTTTTTGAGACAGAGTCTCACCAGCCTTGAGTTCACCAACACATCCAGCCCCAGGACTTCCCCGTTTTGTTTTGTTTTGATATGAGTTGTATGAATCAAACTCAGGTCTCAGGTCCGCATGCTTGCCCCTCAAGGACTTGACTGGGCCATCCCTGCAGCCTTAGAATGTCTGCTGTTTTAAGAACTTAACTGAAGCAAGCCGAAATAGCTCAGTTGGGGGAGCATTACACTGAAGCACGTGACTAACGGCAGGCCCTGTCACTGACCTGGGTATGACAAGCCTAGTCCTTGAAGTGGGGAGTCTGCCTCAAATGGATGACCAATATGAACCCATCCAGTCCGGCCCCACTTCAGAATGCTGTCTAGTGACTGTAGACGGACACGGGTAACCCACGCTGCCTTCCACTACCTCAGGTTTGCTCTGTCAGCCATGAACATGGAGCAGAAAGACTATGATTCCCGCACGGCCCTGCATGTTGCTGCAGCTGAAGGTATTTAAAGGGTTAAGGAGGAAAAGCAGTCCACTGGGTGTACCCTATCCACCTCCTATTGTGCTTGTAAAGGGCAGGCAGGGTGGTCTACAGGCCCATCAGCTGACGGATTGTAGCTAGGTGCTGGCAAGACTTTTCTCCTCCCCTCTCAGTCCAGATTCACCAAGGGCCTACACCAAATGGTTCAGGACCTACCTGTGTACTCTCTAATCTTCCTTCTACCCCTATTCCTAGGACACGTTGAAGTTGTCAAATTTCTGATCGAGGCTTGCAAAGTGAACCCTTTTGTCAAGGATAGGTGAGTACGATTAGTCTGAAAGGGAAGGAGCGTGGCCCAACCTTCCCACGGCCCTGCAGCCGCCTTGTGTATACGTGCAGCGTGGTACCCTGTCGCCTTTGCCTAGCCGTGACCCTTGTCCCTCACAGGTGGGGCAATATTCCCCTGGATGACGCTGTGCAGTTCAACCACCTAGAGGTGGTCAAGCTGCTTCAAGATTACCATGGCTCCTACGTGCTCTCTGGCGCTCAGGCCGAGGAAGCAGCTGAGACCCTGTCCAAAGAGAACTTAGAAAGCATGGTGTGAGCCCAGGCTGGAGGCAGTCCCTGCTCAAGAAAAAGCATGAGCTGGCCATACATCTAACGCACAGCCACTAAAAAATTCTACGGGAAGCTGCTTCGGTGGGGAGCAACACAGCCATTTGGTGACACAGGCCAGTGTTTTCTGTGAAAATCAAAACACCCCATCCCCCCAGCCAACAGCACACAGAAGATCCTCAGTGGACATCCGCATAGAGCTATCCACAGAGACCTCAAAGTATAGTTTAACGGCTTCATCCTCTCAAAAGTTAACCAGCTCCCCTTTTCCTCTCTGAAGAAATCACATGAGAACAAGAGACTTCCTGGGAGATACTCTCGCCACCATGCATCCGCCAGAGGGGGGAGAAGCAGGTGGGGCCCGTGCACCTGGCTTTAGAAGTCTGCAGAGATCTGTCCCTTAGCAGGACATGCTGCCACTGCTGACAGCAATTTTATAGACAGAGAAGGTATTTTGTGTTCAAATAAACTTTAATTACATGAATTTTTCTTCTTTTTTGCTAAATCTAGTCATTCTCTTTCTCCCCCATATCCAGTTTCATCACCACCATAGATAATAGAATAAGACAGAACCACAGGGTCAGACAGAGTCCAAACGATATATATTCCATGTGCATATCCATCTACTCCACAAGGTTTCCCTCAACCCCAAATACTGCTTTGATTCAGTATATTCTGTGGCCAACGGTGGGAATTTGGGGTCTGAACAGGCTCCAAAATGGGTTATGTAGAACTCCCCTCTTTTCTCTGACGCTCCCAACTGTGGCAGATATGTAGATGGAACTTCTGGAAGGTGAGAGTTTCTGGCAGCACAGCCCTACATAGCCCCCTAGTGTCTCTTCCCCTTTGGTCGCAGCTGTAACTGGCACAGTGGTTATGGCTGGGTATCAGGGGTGTGCAGGAGATGGCAGATGGACTCAGAGCTCTATAGCTGCATCTGTGTGGGACTGACATCTGCGGTGCTGACCTACTGAGTCAGTACGGCACTGAGGGAGCCAGAACCCAAGAATCTGAGGTGCACGGAGAAAAGGCCACCACTCCTCCAGCCAGAGGTAGAAAGCATTTACTCAGGAGAAGCTGGTAAACCCCCAAAGCAAGTTACATGTGGGTAAGGGAGAGGAGAGGTAGTGGACCCCAGGGCTGAGCAGTCTAAGACCTGGGCACAAGCAGAGGGACCCAAGGAGGCAACTGGAGGAGAAAATTCACCTGATGCTCTAGGGAACTGGCAGTAATGTGATGAAAAGTTTGGCTGTATACCTAGCTTTCACAAGGTAGGACCAGAGGAAGATGACTAAAATATTGCACAAGGGCTCCCAACTGCATAGAGAGCTACCGCTTGCTTGAGACAATGTAAAACGACGTAGACCCTTTGAACAGAAGCATGATTAAGGGACTTAGGTAACGGCGGCATCAGAGCCCTTTAGGCACTTGTAGTCCTGAGTGGGTTAGCAGCTCTCCATCCCAAAGAGCAAACGCAGGCGTCACTGGGCCGCGGAAATCCGTCTGTAGTGTGTGGACCACGGCGATCTCACTGACATCCACCAGGCTTAGCTTCTTTGCCTCATAGTCCAGCAGCAGCCCCACTTTCTCTGGCTGCCCAATACCCTCAATCGGGGCTTTCTCGTTGGCCAACATGCTGTGCCACTTGCGCTGGGCATAGGAGAACACCCAGGAGCGGTCGTCAGCACCGACGCAGCTGTCCCGGGACATGTCCACGTCTGCCACTCCTATCCGGAACTGCTGGGAGCGCTTCACTGTGACTTCCCAGTAATGCCGGCCACTGGTGACCGTGGCGTCTGCGAGCACCACTGCCCACTCCCGGAAGCGCTCCACGTTCAGGGCCACCTTGGTGGGTTCCAGTCCCACCAGGCCGTATTTGACACCTGTGTCACCTCTGAAGAGTGCCAGGCTGCTGTGGGCAGTTTTTTCTTCCAGTTTGAAACTGATGCCTGAGGACAGAGCCAAAAAGAGAGAGAGAGAGAGAGAGAGAGAGAAGAAAAAGAATGGGTAGTGGCAAGTTAAAACCCCAGGTCTGGTTTTTGATCGGAAGCGCTGATGGGAAATCAGGAAAAGTCAAATGTTAAGATGCAAAGGGTAGAGATGTCGCTTTAGTATAGCAGTCCCGGAAGATGCAAATGACGGCCGAGCTGGGGATGGGGAGCCCCAGATTGGTGCCCCAAGTTTGCAATCTTGCTAGCCCAGGGCAGACGGGGGAGGAGGAATAAGGGGTGGGGTTCTCTGAGCGCGCCCTGGGAATAACACGTTAACTCCTTTGGAGCGAAAGAGTGAAAAGAAACAACCCTACCTCTCCGGGCGTCCCCGGCAGGGACCCCCCATCGCTTGGCTCCCCAGCGGTACGGGTTCCAGCAGCGTGCAAAGGGCAGCGCCATCTTGGGCCACTGACACACGGGGGCACGCCCCCGCCCGGGAGGCCGACCAATGACTGTACGACGTTGGGTCACGTGGACTGGACAAGTCTGCGTCGGTGATGGCTAGCGAGTCCGGGAGACAGGGTCTTCCTAGTCAGAGATCCGGTTGTCTCTGCCTACCGAGAGCTGGGGTTAACTGCGTAGCTTGTGCTCGTTGTTTTTTAATGTATAAATGAACATGAAGGCAGGGATTTTTATTTTTTATTTATTTTTTAGGGTGCAGTGACTCGTTCTCTCCACCAGGGTGCAGTCAGGCCCAGCCTTTTCATCCACTTAATCGCAGAGGGGCAGTTTGTTGACTTTTTTTTTCTTTCTGATTTCAAAGCTACTTTTAATACTTGGAGGGATAAAAAACGGGGAAAGGGTAACCTCACCTCCGGGGGTGGCCCAGGGGTAGAGAGGCTACCTGAGGGGAAGGACGTACGAAAGGGGCAGGAATGCCGTGGTGTTGGGGCCTGTGAGCCAGCTCTCCAGGGAGAAACAGTAGCATGGTGGGGCTGGCTCTGGGCACACAGGCAAAGGGCCAGGAGGTTGGCCACGAAGCCACCAAGGTTCCTTCTGTTCCTTTCTCCGCTTCTGCTGCACGACCTCCGAGTCGCCCCGCCCGCCCACCATCGAGTCCCTCGGCTTCTTGTGCTTGATGGCGAGCTCGCGCTTGGCTACCGCGGTCCTGGCAATCACTCCTTCTGGTTTGTTGCCTTCTAAACCCAGGAGCAAAAATGCTGAGGGAATTTCCTCCGCAGAAGTCCTACTCTGCTCTGCCAAAGCTTTGGGTTTGGGTAATGAAGAGGGAACTGTTTCAGAACTGGGTCTCTGTAGGACGTGTACCCCATCATGGCATGAGGACTGAAGTCGCCCATAGGCTTCTCAGTCACTCAAGACACGCTTCCTTTTTCCTTCCTTTTCCCTTTTCCTTCCCTTCCCTTTCCACCCTTTCTCTTCCCTTCGTCCCTTCCCATCTCCCCGCCCTCTCTCTCTGTTTTGTTTTGATCACTGAGCTGTATACCTATCCCTTTTTGCTTTTTGTTTTGTTTTGTTTTAGTTTGGAGACAAGGTCTCACTGTAGCCTAGGCAGTATTTGGACTATGGGTTCTCCTGGCACAGCCTTCTAGTAGCTAGGATTATCAGAACAGAACGGAGTACTTCAGGGCCCATAGGGAGCACAATGTTGCTAGAGAGTTGGGCTGAGAGGATGGCAGAATATTGAAAAGTTGAGGCGGAATCATAAATAATCACATGTTATGAGGAAATTGAAACCCCTCTTTCAGATATCCACGAGCTGTCTAAGGCAACACGAGAATGATAAAGTATATTCTCATGCAAAGGCAAAGTTGGAAGCATTGCAGAACATGAATTGGGGGTGGGAGAGGATGAGATGAGAAAGAGAAGCAGGATTTAGCCACCAGAGATCTTACAGAAGACGTGGTCTGACCCAGCTCTGGAAGAGGTGGCTGATGGGGAAGGAAAAGGTGACGTGAAATTAGTTAAGTTTAGGGAAGCTGGATTTCAGGTGTCTATGGGACGGCCACGTGTGTGGGTATCCCCTGGCTGTTCCGGAACTCATTTTGTATAGACCAGGCTAGCCTTGAACTCACCGAGATTCACCTGCCTCTGCCCCCTGAGTGCTGGGATTAAAGGCGTGCGCCACCACCGCCTGGCTTGCTAACTGATCTTGTTGGCCTGATCTGGTGCAGGTCTTGTGTAGGTGCCCATAGCTGCAGAGAGCTCCCAGTGCAAAGATTTTTGTCATGTCCAGAAGATGGCACAGCTCTCCTCCCCATCCTCCAGCTCTTACACTTTCTGCCTTCTCTTCCATGATGTACCTGGCCAGGGTTGAGTAACCTGGTCAATCTATGAGTATAAACATAAATATTTTAATTGAAGCTTGATAACATGTCCTTTTTTTTTTTTTTATGACAACAGTAGTAGTTTCCCTCCTAGGTTCTTTTACCTCCCCAGTCATGAGTTTCTGACCTGGCTTACAACACTAGGCATGACTTTTCTCCTGTGAAGTAGGCCTCAAATCCAGTCCTAAAGTAGGTGGTTGTCCCCACAACATTCATGCCTACTGTACCAGAGGGCACTCGGTGCCTGGCAGGTCTAGTTGCCAATAAACAACATCACTGATGTCTCTTCTCTGGCATAGTGTCTCTAGCACTATGATATCTAGCCAGTGGAGAGGAAATTTTCTGGTCAGTTCCACTAGATTTCTCTGTGTCCTTCAACTGAAGTGCTCAGCAGTAGTTTTACCAGTTCTGGTAGGCAACTAAAGCCTGATTTATTTTGAGGGGGCTCTGGGACCTCACAGATCAGTAATTCATTGGAGGGCATGAACTAAGGTTTTCATTTAATAACTCATACCTTCAGGGAAAGCATGTCCACCCAAACATGGTACCTATGTTCAACATACCCCCTCCTTTTATTCATATTCCTTTCTTTCTTTCTTTCTTTCTTTCTTTCTTTCTTCCTTCCTTCCTTCCTTCCTTCCTTTTTCTTTTTTTTTTTTAAGACAGGGTTTCTCTGTGTAGCTCTTTTATTTTATTTTTTAAGATGTATTTATTTGATGCTGGGCAGTGGTAGCACACACCTTTAATCCCAGCCCTCGGGAGGCAGAGACAGGCAGATCTCTGTGAGTTTGAGACAAGTCTGGTCTACAAGAGTGAGTTGCAGGACAGCCAGGGCTACACAGAGAAACTTTGTCTGAAAAACCAAAAGAAAGATGTATTTGTTATGTATAGTGTTCTTCCTGCATGTATGCCTACAGGCCAGCAGAGGGCATCAGATCTCATTATAGATGGTTGTGAGTCACCACATGGTTGCTGGTAATTGAACCCTGTTGCTCTGGAAGAGCAGCCAGTGCTCTTAACCTCTCAGCCATCTCTCCAGCCCCCTCATCTTATTTTTTAACTACCTTACAAAGTAGTGGGTTTCCATCAGGCCTCTACCCACATACTCAGTGTTTTAACTATCCTGTCTCCCATTCCCACGTATATATACCTTTCAAGAGGGGGAGGTTTCCAGATGAAGGCATCCAAGGAGAATAAGTGGGTAAACAAATAAAGGGATAGCAATATGTTAGGGGACACATATAAAATGCTCAGAGCAGGACCTGACCTATAGTGAGCATGGGTAGGTCTGGTCAGGGGTTGTATTTGACTCACTGGAAAGGAGAAAAGCGGGGCACAAACAAGACAGACTAACCCTTGGTTACCTTGTGACTTGGATTACATGTTGGGTTTCGAAATACATAGGGTCGTGGTCCAGTCCAAGTGCTAATTGGAGCCCTTGACTATAAACGGGACAGGGATGATGAGCTGGGAGCCTGGTGATTGTTCTAGACTATGCCAGGAGTCAGCAGTCAGCAAAGCTTAACTAGAGAGATCGAGAGAAGGGGGGTGGCCTCAGGAGCTAGCCAAAGGGACTGCTGGGCTGGCTGACTTGTGCTGTGTTGGGGCCTTTGTCCTACTGAACTGTCCACACAATGGAGCTTACATGCTGACATGGCACTCTGAATGTGGGTCTAGGATGGAGAGAGTCTACATGATGGGAACAGAAAGAATGGTCACCTGTCCCCGAGGGCCACAGCTCTCTATTCGTGAATATTGAAATCACTAGAGAGGTTGTTTGCTACAAGATAAACACATATTATGTTAATATATGATGAATTCACAAATCAGTTTGCATTTTGACTTGATATATGACTTAACATGTAGAGTAGGTTGGAGATGTTGCTCAGTAGAGTCTGTCATGCACCATGTGTGTCCCTTCCCCAGTGCTGCATGATCTGGGTTTGGAAGCACACGCCTGAACCACAGCACTCAGGAGGTGGGAGGACCACAAGTTTAAAACTGCCCTCTGCTGCATGGTAAGTGTGATGTCAGCCTGAGACACTGGAGACATGTCTCAAAAAATGTACAATTAGTAAGATGGGTGGTATTATAAAGGTGGTCCAAGCCCAGCGCTAGAGAGGCAGGAGGACCTCTGAGTTCAAGCCAGTCTAGTGTACACCGAGTGTCAGGACAGTCAGGGCTACACGGAGAGACCCTGTCTAAAGGAAAAGTGATAAAGGCCAGGCATGCTACTTGGAGTCAGAGGCAGGAGGTTCACGTGCTTCTGCTACATAGCGAGTCTGAAGTAAGTCTGAGCTGCATTAAACAACTTGTTTCAAACAAGCAGATATGGCTCACTGGCTAAGAGCACTTGATGCACCATGCTGAGTTTGGACTCCAGCACCCGTGTAACAGCCTGACATGGTGTTGCATCGCTGTGCAGAGGACAGACAGAACAGCTGATGGGACTTGCTGGCTGCAAACCTATCTGGGAAAAGAACCAAAACAGAGTCAGCCCCAGGTCAGGTAAAAATAAAAAGAGTACTTGCTGCTCTGCCAGAGGACTCGAGTTCTGTTCCCAGCACCCACATCAGGTAGCTCACAATTGCCTGAAACCCTAGATCCAGGAGACACAAGGCCTCTGGCTTCCCAGGAAACTGTACTCACACATGCCTACACATTTAAAACTCATAAAAACAAATATTTAAAACAAATGGAAACCTATGAGAATAAATACCTAGGAGGTAAAGGGAGGCGGCTTCAGAATTCAAGCCTAGCTTTGGCTACATAGACATCCTGTCTCAAAAAGAAAAGACATGGCACTTGCAAACTCAACAATGTGGGGTTAATCCATGGAATCCATATAAGGATGGAAGAAGAGAAACCACCCCAAAAATTTGTCCTCTGACCTCCACACAGACAACCGGCACTATATGTACACACACACACACACACACACTAATGATAACAAATAAAATTTATAAAAGACATAATTATCTTGAAATTACCCGATTTTATTATCAATTCTCTTCTTCTATGGTTTCTATTGAAAAAGAAAACTCGAGGGGCTTAGAATGGTAGAGTGTTTACTGCTCGTTCATGAAGCCCTGGGTTAGAGCCCCAGAACCACACAGCCTGGGAGTAGCAGTATTCTCCTTCCTCCTGTTGAGGCTCTTCAGGACAAAGAGGATGAGGAGGAAAGGCTGGAGCAGTCAGGACAGCAAACTTTGTCTTGCTTTACTCCTTCTCTGGCAGACCTGCAGAGGTGGTGGGTGTTTTCATTTGTTTGGTTTAGTCTTCATTAATCTTTTTACATTATTTAGAATAAATACTGGGGAAGGTACAAACCATAGTGCTCCCGTGGAGATCAGAGGACAACTTGCTGGAGTCTGTTCCCTTCCTCCACCAGGAGGGCTGCAGGGATCAAGCCAGGTCATCCGGCTTGGAAGCAAGGTCCCACACTGACCCATCTTGAAGGACCACGGTCCTGGTAGAGGCAGTCCTTGAGGGCCCACGCCCAGCAGGAGCTCCATGTGAGGACAAGTCTCTTGTCCTGGGCAGCCAGCCCTAGCTTTGAGGACTGCTGCTGGAGAGCCTGGCCCAGGAGTCTGGTGAGGTCAGGTGGGTGTGGGGCAGTCCAGCACTACCATAGGTCTGTGCCCATCACTTGACCCTGTTCAGGAGAGACTTATGTTCTGAGACAGCACAGCAACATTCTGGCCTTCGTTCATTCACCCCTGACTCTACTCTAGGTGGCTGCAGCCAGGTGCCCCCTCACACTGAGCAGGTGCTGAGGCTAGTTGGCTGACAGGACTTTAAGGAATAAGCAAGACAGAGAAGATTGCTGCTGGGCCAACCTCTCAGTAAGCCACAGTTGCTGTGAAGCTGGTTTGTCCACTGTGTTAGACTCAACAGCTCAGGATTCAGGGTCACTTGATTTAGATCTATCTCTAAAAGCTTCCTAGGTGGGTTGCATTAGTCAACTGCCTGTCATAAGAGAAAACCTCAAGACAATTATCTTGCGAAGAGAAAAGTTAGTTTTTTTCAAGACAGGGTTTCTCTGTGTAGCCCTAGCTGTCTGTCCTGGAACTTGCTCTGTAGACCAGGCTGTTCTTGGTCTCACAGAGATCTGTCTGCCTCTACCTCCTGAGTGTTGGGATCAAAGGCATGCTCCACTACCACCTGGCTGAGAAAAGTTTTTATTTTTAACGCAAGTTTCTAAAGGTTCCAGCTCAAACCTGGGTGACTCCATGGCTCTGAGCCTCCAGTAAGCAGAGCACATCTACAGGTGGAAATGTACGGCCGAGCAGTTGACTTTTGCCATGAGCCAAGAGGCACAGCAAGAGAAGAGGAAGAAGAAACCAATGTGGCCGGGCGGTGGTGGCGCATGCCTTTAATCCCAGCACTCGGGAGGCAGAGGCAGGCAGATCTCTGTGAGTTCGAGGCCAGGCTGGACCGACAGCCTCCAAAACAGAGAAACCCTGTCTCGTAAAACCAAAAAAAAAAAAGAAAAGAAAAGAAAAGAAACCAGAAGAGGCAGACTCCCTTGGTTAAGTACTGAGCTGAACTCAAGAAAGCCAGTAACAGAGAGGGAGGACTGGTGATCAAAGGGATTAAGACTGGGCTGGTTTAACCCCCAGAAACAGCTGACTAGACAAAGGTTAACTCTTGAAACCCAGGCATCAGCCTGGGAATCCAGCATGGGACTGATCAATACCCCCTGAATTTGGGTGTCAGTGAGGAGGCCTAGGGAATCTATTGAGCCTTGGGCAGCAGATCAGTACCCATCCCAAGTATACACACGGACTTTGGACTCCCATAGAACAATGTGAGGTGCACTCTCACCCTGAACTCTTGGGGAAGGGTCTAGGCCCTGCCCTATATGAAATGACAGACTATGGACACCCCCATGGAGGGCCTCACCCTCCCTGGGGGAATGAGGGGATAACGGGGGGGATGTTGGGGGAGGGCATGGGAGGAGGGGAGGGAAAGGGAGAGGGACCTGGAACTGACTTGTGAAGCAACCTTGTCTCTTATCTAAATTTAAACTGGAAAAAAAAACAGTAAAAAAAAAAAAGCAACAGAAAACACACACACACACACACACAAAAAAGAAACCAATGTGAGGAAACCCCCATTTGAGGGCACCCCTTCTTGACCTTCTTGACCCAAAGACCTCATCCAAGGACAACTCCCTTTGAGCCCTGCCCCTCCCCATAGCGCCATCCTGGGAAACAAGTCGTTCAACACAGTGACCACTGGAGAGCACAGTTCTTACTCAAGCCACGGTGCGGGCAGACGGTGGATAGTGGAACTTGCAGGCAGTGAGAGGAATGTTGTGTCCGCCCTCCCCTGGTCTCAGGTGTGAGCAGGAAAAGCCATGGGAGACCAGACTCTGAGCATGGAGTGGCTCCCAGCAGTGAAGGGAAGCAGAGGGGCTCCCTGACGGACGGCCGGATCAGCAACAGAGGTGAGACTTCCCCCAACAGCAAAGAGAGTGTGCTCAGAGTCACTTCTCAAGGGAGCACAGCCTGTTTTCATTTTTTTCTTTTTTAAAATTTTATTTATTTTTATTTCATGTGCATGTCTGTGTGAGGATGTCTGATGCCCTGGAAATGGAGTTACAGACAGTTATGAGCTCCATGTAGGTGCTAGGAATTGAACCTGGGTCCTCTGGAGCAGAAGCCATCTCTGGGCCATCTCTTCAGCCCTGCCCCCCCCACTTTTTTGTAAGTCTAGGCTAAGGCTGTGTATAGTGGAATGCACCTAAAAAAAAATCCTAGCTACTCAGTGCCTGAGGTAGGAGGAGGATTGTGAGTTCAAGGCCAACCTGGACTACATAGTGGAGTCCTGTCTCAAAAATATATAAAAACAAACTAAGCTAATAGAAATCAATTAATATGCTAATTATATGTAAATATACATAAAATTTAAGTCACTTTTGTGAGTTTATCTCCAATTAGGGTTTTGTTCAGCTTATTTATTATTTATTGTGTGTGTGTTCAGGATATGTGTGTGGAGGTTAGTGAATGACCTGAAACAATCGAGTCTTTCCTTCTGCTATGTGCATCTGAGGAATCAAACTTGGGTCCTCAGACTACGTGGCAAGCAACGTAGCCCACTGAGCCACCTCACAGTCCAACCAGCTATGTTTGAGAGCCGCTGGTATTTAAGTAAATGGGGATCGTCGTGTAAAAGGAGAGGGCCATGGAATTATGAACATTTTTTGTTTGTCTGTTTTTTGAGACAAGGTTTCATTTATAGTCCAGGAAGGTTTCAAATTCATATGTAACCCAGTCTGGCCTCACGCTCACAAGCCTCCTGCCTCAGCCTCTGGAATGCTGCGATTACAGATCTGGCTAACTGTTGTCGTCTGACAAGGGATAAAGAGTAGAGGGTTTTGCTGCAGATAAGGAAATCTGACCATTTGGTAATGACTTGACTCCCTTCTGTTCCTCTTATAAAAGGGTACCAGGTTGTGAGAAAATATTTTTGAAGGACTGGAGAGATGACTCAGTGGTTAAGAGTACTGACTGCTTTTCCTAGAGGACCCAAGTTCAATTCCCAGCACCCACACAGCAGCTAACAACTGTTTGACTTCAAGATCTGACACTTTCACACAGATATACATGCAGGCAAAACACCAAAGCATATAAAATAAAGTAATTTAAAAATAGGGCCGGGCGGTGGTGGCACACGCCTTTAATCCCAGCACTCGGGAGGCAGAGGCAGGTGGATCTCTGTGAGTTCAAGGCTGGGCTTGACCGACAGCCTCTAAAACAATACAGAGAAACCCTGTCTCGTAAAACCAAAAAAAAAAAAAAAGAATTTTTTTTTGGTGTTAATTGAACCCTTGGCTATTAATTGGCTTCTGTGTATTGAGTGTTTTGTTCTGCTTGAGATACTTTACCTGCTTTTTAAGCTACAATATTTATTTGAAGAAGATGATACTGGGCCTCAAGGAGCTCATATTAAATTGATTCAACAGAAATTTATACCTTTCTGTCTCTCTCTGTCTCTCTGTCTCTGTCTCTCTCTGTCTTGGTTTTTTTCAAGACAAGGTTTCTCTGTGTAGCCCTGGCTGTTCTGGAATTCTCTCAGTAGACCAGGCTGACCTCAAATTCAGGGATCCACCTGACTCTGCCTTCCGAGTGCTGGGAATAAAGGTGTGCACCACCACTGCTCTGTCTGTCTGTCTGTCTGTCTATCTACCTACCTACCTACCTACCTATCTATCTATCTATCTATCTATCTATCTATCTATCTATCTATCTGTCTGTCTATCTGTCTATCTATCATCCATCCATCTTGAGACAAGACCTCACTACGTATCTCCAGGGCTTGGTTTGTATTCATAACCTCCTACCTCTACCTCTCATGTGCCAGAATTATAGTCGCACACCAGAGCTATGTTCTCCTCTTTGTGTGGTTTTATCTCATCTGTATTTATTCTGAAAAATGCATTTTTACTTTATAGGTAATTGCTCTAGCAACCAGACCATACCCTCATTCATTTTTTACATCTTATAATAAGATTATTTTGCCTGCATGTGTGTATGTGCTCCCCATATGTGCCTGGTGAGTTCATACCCCCTGGAACTGGAGTTATGGATGGTTGTGAGCCATCATGTGGATGCTAGGATGGAGCCCCCACCCTCTTCAAGACAACAAATGCTCTTAACCCCTGAGCCATCTCTCCAGCCATTTCTCCTCCCATCTCTCCAGATACAGTTGTAGACAGTAGCTCTGGATACAGATATGGATGAGACAGTCTTCCTGGCTAGCAGGTGCTTGTCATATAGTCTAGGTTGGCCTTGATCCTGCTGTGTAAGGCTTGGGTCCTGTCACTTTAATGTTGGTACAGGGAGTCCTAGAGGCCTCAAGCCCCGGCAGGAGCTCCATGCCAGGCACAAGTCTCTCATCCCAAGTGACTGACCTGGCTTTGAGCATGGGTGGGGGTGAGCCTGGCACAGACGTTTGGGGTAAGACCCTCCTGCTTTAACTCCCATGGTTCTGGGATTTAGGCATGTGCTGTCATACTTTCAGGTGGACAACCCCTGGAACTTTTAGAAACCATTTTGTTGCTAAGATTTGTCTTATTACTGAGTGTCACTGACTATTAACTCATGTTGACTATTGAGTGACACCCCCATTACTATCTCCTATACCGCTGTTTGTCATTTCACTTTCCTGTTGGCAAGTGTCTGGGCTGTTTTGCTTTCTTGTGACCGAATAGCTGCTCTTGTGCATGTCTGCTGGAGTGTCTATAGAAGAGTTTTTCTTGGGTATGTGCAATTCTTGGGTCAGAAAATATGTATTTGCTCATTTTTTTGCACATGGTGCTGTCTATGTGTCAAAGAGTCTATCTTAACTCACACTCTAGCCAGTATTTGCCACTGTTCCTGCCATTTTGTGTCCTCACGCACACCTGTCCCAGTACATGTTACTAAGGTCTCTACTCTTACTGTGCTCCTGTCTGAGGGTGTTTTCTGGAAGCAGTACAAACCCTGTGTTTTCTGGGGTTGACAGAGGTGACCAGAATCTAGGGGCATCGCTGGGTGAAATGCAGCAAAGGTTACATTAAAGAGTCAGAGGGTGAGCCGGGCGTTGGTGGCGCCTGCCTTTAATCTCAGCACTCGGGAGGCAGAGGCAGGTGGATCTCTGTGAGTTCGAGGCCAGCCTGGTCTACAGAGTGAGTTCCAGGACAGCCTCCAAAACAATACAGAGAAACACTGTATCAAAAAACCAAAAAAAAAAAAAAAAAAAAAAAAGGAGTCAGAGGGTGTTGTTTCTCCTGAATCAGTCCCTGTGAGTGCCTGTGACCTCAGTACCTCCTGTGGATAGGTTCTTAGAGCCCTTCCACGGACACCATACCGTTTTCATTATCCAACCTAAAACGATATTGCAGGAGGACAGAAACATGACTGAACTCTTTCCTCCTTCTCGAACCCCTAACCCCTCTTTCAAGTTATGCTTCCTCATGCTCTCTCTCTCTCTCTCTCTCTCTCTCTCTGGTTTAAAGGGCAGGCTGAGGGTTTGGAAAGGGAGGTGCTGGCCTGGGTTGGGGGTAGGGAATCCGGGGCTCTGAGAAAGCCAGACACAGCAGAACCATTCTGTTCCAGAGCTGCAGGGTCCACAGATTCCTGTATAAACCAGCCAATGGGAGACAGCCCTCTAATCCTAGGGCACTAAAGAATTCTCCTCAGTTATTCAATTTCCCTGCTGCACCCCACTCCTTACTCCCACCCCCACCCTTACTTAACCCAGATGGAATCAGAGGAGCCTGAGACCCCCAGGAGCCAGCCCAGCCCATATCCGGAGAAGTGAACTCAAACTGACTATCTTCCAAGAAACTTGAGGAATGTTCTAAGCCAGGTGTCAATCAGGACCATGAACCCCAACTTTGACACAGACAGGCAGACTGTTCCAGGTCTCCATCCATGAACCCCATACTCCTGGCTCCCTGGCTCATCCCCCGAGGAGGAGAGAAAGGAAAATGCCAGCCTCTCCATCAGATGATTGGAGACGAATCTGGACATCCACAGGCATGAACGAGTTAAGAGGCAGAGCCAGTTACCCCAGCCTGCCCCTCCCAGGGATTAAGAGCGCTCTCTATAAAGGGGACTGTCCACTCAGGCCAGTCCAGGGGCTTATTAGGGACCCAGGCACTGTGCCCACTCCCCATTGCCATGTGGGAACTTCGGTCTGCCTCCTTTTGGAGGGCTATATTTGCCGAGTTCTTTGCCACCCTCTTCTATGTCTTCTTTGGACTGGGAGCCTCGCTGCGTTGGGCCCCTGGACCCCTACATGTCCTGCAAGTGGCTTTGGCCTTTGGCCTGGCCCTGGCTACACTGGTGCAGACTGTGGGTCACATTAGTGGAGCCCATGTCAATCCTGCAGTCACCTTTGCCTTCCTTGTGGGCTCCCAGATGTCCTTGCTCCGTGCCTTCTGCTATATGGCAGCTCAGCTTCTGGGGGCTGTGGCTGGAGCGGCTGTACTCTACAGTGTCACCCCGCCAGCTGTCAGAGGAAACCTAGCACTCAACACGGTAAGGGATGGCCAAGGGCGGGCGTAGGGGGCATGGCATCTTGATTGTTGCCCTAACATGCTTGTTCCTGTATGTACATAGGTGTGTGTGTGTGTGAGAGTTAAGGGTGCTTAGGAGGAGAACAGAAAAAGCATAGAGCCCTCCATGAAGGATCAAGAAAGTTTAGCTCAGATTTCAGCTTTCTTAGGTTGTTGTTGCTGTGAGCTGGGGGACCTAGTCCTTCCGTGTAGCCAAATATATTCCTCCTGCCTCTACCCTGCAAGTGCTAAGATACCACGCATGCCAGAACCTAGGGCCTCAGGCAGGCAAGAAATACCAAATGAGCTTCCTCCCCACTCTCCTCCAGGTTCTTAAGTGGATTTACTTTATTTTACTCAATGTCCTCGCCCATGTGAGTGCCATCATTTCCAAACAGCAACAAAAAAGTGCCGTTAGGAAACACTAAACTAGAAATGCATCAGCTGGAGGGGTTTCAAACCCTTCCTGTCTCGGGAGTTGATTGATAAGAGGATGCCTGCTGGTGACGGCAATCGCGTGGCAGTGCTAACGGATGCCTCCCTTTCTCCCCTTTGGCCAGTTGCACGCTGGGGTCAGTGTGGGCCAGGCCACCACTGTGGAGATCTTCCTGACGCTCCAGTTTGTGCTCTGCATCTTTGCTACATATGACGAAAGGCGGAATGGTCGCATGGGCTCCGTGGCCTTGGCTGTTGGCTTCTCCCTCACCCTGGGGCACCTCTTTGGGGTAAGCAGGAGAGGTGGGAAACTTCTTATTCCAGGACTCTAGGGACCCCAAAGCAGACATAAGGGTTCTGTCTTCCCTACACCATCTTTAATCGTATTATCCATCCTTTTCTTTATCAATTGGCACAAAGGGATCAACTTTCTTTTAACTACTATATCTAACCTTTCTTGGCTTCGGGTGGAAATGCACACATTACGATAGGACTGGGCTGTTCTTCTGGGGCCATAGTTCTGTCCCCAGATGGAATATCAGTGTCACTATCTATGTGGAGAGTTATGAAGCTGGTCCTGCCCCATTTGCTGCTGGCTGAAGAAAGATGCCAGCTCTCACTGGCAATGCGGGCTATAGAGAGAGAAGCTGGTGGTCGGGGTGAAAATGTCTCAGCTAATTCTGTGTCTTTTGCAGATGTATTACACTGGTGCAGGGATGAATCCTGCCCGCTCCTTTGCTCCGGCCATCCTCACCCGGAACTTTAGCAATCACTGGGTAAGTAAGAGCACAAGGTAAGAGCATAGGGCACTTTTGGCAGGCGGGACTGTAGGTGGCACTCCATCAGGATGTGTTGGTTGCTCTGCCAGCACGCAGCTAAGGAGGCTGTCAGAGACCTTGGGACGCTTGCATATGCACATTGCATTATTTTGTCAAAAAGAGCTCTTAGCTGGGTGTGGTGATACATGCCTGTAGTTCCAGCGCTTGGGAGGCTGGTGCAGGAGGAGTATTTGAGGCCAGAAAGTTGAAGCTGGCATAGACGACGGCACAGCAAGACGTCGTTTCTGAAACAAACGGATGGAAGGCTCTTGCTGGGACTGCCCTCTTGTTGGGCTTTTTAACTGAGTACGCCATGGATGAGAGAACTAGAGGCTATTGGATAGTCAATTACATCTGAGACAAAACTTCTGGTTCCAGAAGTCAGAATGTATGCCCACGGGACCAGCAGCACCTTAGTTCTACTTTACTAGTCTTGTATGTAATTCTGACTAGTTACTTATTCTTTGTCTCTGTTCATTAATTACAGATATATATATGTATATGTATATTATAATTGTGACAGTTATCTGTGTAAAGCAACTAGCACAGATTCTGGCATGGAGTAATCTTCAATAAATAATAACAATGCTTTGGGCATACATAAAATAAACATGAAAATAGTTCCAAAGAATCTACCAGGTTGTACAACCGTTTCCACGGCAGCATTAGTTACAATCGACACGACGTAGAAGCAACCCTAATTCCCCTTGCTAGAGCAGTGGAAAAGTCAAGCGTGGTCTATATGCACATGGAAGTTCTGATTCCATGTAACATAAACCTCAGGGACATTATGCTAAGTGAAATTACCTGTCACCAAAAGGTAATTCTTATATGGTTCTACTTACATGAGGTAGAATATCCACATTCATTCAAACAAGCCAACGTGGTAGTATAAACCTACATTTCCAGCACCCGGAAGGCAGACTCAAGAGGATGAGGAGTCCCAGGTCATCCTAGGCTACACGGCAGTTCAGGGCCAGCCTGTGCTACATGACACCATAAAGAGGAGAAGGGGGTGGAGGAAGGGGAGAAAAGGGAGGAAAGGAAAAAAAGGAAAGAAAAAAGAAACACAAATTACCAGAAACAGGAAGTAGAAGGGTGTCTGTCAGGGACTGGGGTCAGCCTATATAATTAATGCCTATATAATTTTAGGTTTTTTTTTTGTTTGTTTTTTTGTTTTTTTGTTTTTGTTTTTTTGAGACAGGGTTTCTCTGTATTGTCTTGGAGGCTGTCCTGGAACTCACTCTGTAGACCAGGCTGGCCTCGAACTCACAGAGATCCACCTGCCTCTGCCTCCCGAGTGCTGGGATTAAAGGCGTGCGCCACCAATGCCCGGCTTATAGTTTTAGTTTTACAAACTCAAAAACTCCTGGAAATGAGTTACACAACAATGTGACTATATTTAACACTACCGAGCCATAGTCTTTTTTTTTTCCCAAGACAGGGTTTCTCTGTGTAACAGTCCTGGCTGTCCTGGAACTCGATCTGTAGACCAGGCTGGCTTTGAACTCACAGAGATCCACCTGCTTCTGCCTCTGAGTGCTGGGGTGAACGGGCATGTGTGCCAGGCTCTGCAGAAGAGTTGATTTTTAAGTCGGGGTGTCTCTCTGTAACCAAGATGGTGTCAAAGTCACTGTGTAACTTGGCCTGGCTTCAAGCTCAAGACAACTCTCTTAAGTTGTCCTACTAAGTGCTATGATTAGCCCAAGCTGAAATCCCTGCTTATTTACACTTTTACCCCCCCTTACTGAGTAAACTTGATAGAAGTGCATGCTTGTCATCCCAGCACTTGGGAAGACCAGAGGATTAGGAGTTCAGGGTTCTCTTCAGCAACATGATGAGATCCTGTACTAGGCAAAAAGCAATAGACAATATTTAATAAGGTAAATTTTATGTTATAATTTATAATTTTTCTAAGAAAAATATATAAACTAGTTCAAAATAACAACAATTAGAATAATGTAAGTTAAGGAGGTATAGGTAAGGTAGAGGAATAAGAAAAGAAATAGCTAGGTGGTGGTAACACACACTTTTTGTTGTTGTTTTTTTTTTTTTTTTTTGGTTTTTCCAGACAGGGTTTCTCTGTATTGTTTTAGAGACTATCCTGGAACATGTTTTGTAGACCACGCTGGCCTCGAATTCACAGAGATCCGCCTGCTTCTGCCTCCCGAGTGCTGGGATTAAAGGTGTGCGCCAACAACACCCAGCAGTAACACACACTTTTAGTCCTAGTACTCAGGAGGCAGAGGCAGGCAGATCTCTGTGACTTCGAGGCCAGCCTGGTCTACAAAGTAAGTTCCAGTACAGCCAGGGCTACACAGAGAAACCCTGTCTCTTAAAACAGGAAAAGAAAAGGTTAGTAAATCAGAAGAAAATGACAGGTTTTGATGTACAATAGAGTATAGATATTTCTAAAAACAACATTATTTTATTTATTTTTGTTTTTATTTTGGGTTTTTTGTTGTTGTTTTGAGACCAGTTCTCAGTATGTAACCTTGACTGCCTGGAACTTGCTCTGTAGACCAGGCTGGCCTTGAACTCCCAGAGACCTACTTGCCTCTGCCTCCATAAGTGCTGGCATTAAACGTGTGCATCACCATGCCAATCTGTATTTTTTTAATGTATATATGTATTTTGCATGTATGTCTGTGTGCTACACTACATGCCTGTCCGGTATCCTCGGAGGCCAAACGGAGTATTCAGACCCCTGGGAACTGGAGTTACAGATGGTTGTGAGCTGCCATGTGGGTGCTGGGAATTGATCTTGGGTCCCATGCAAGGGCAACCAATGCTCTTAACCATCCACTGAGACATTCTCCAGTCCCATGGAGTCTAGAATGTTTGTCCAGCGCTGGAACACAGTCCACACTTGGAGGCCCGAACACAGTAGTAACAACAAAAACCTGCACTGACTTCTACTTAGACAAAGCTCAGTTTTGTGGGACAAGCGCAGGAAGTCTTGCTTTTCCCTGAAAGTCCCGAAGCCTGAGCATGCCTTCTCTTTTCCCACAGGTGTACTGGGTGGGCCCCATCATTGGAGGGGGCCTGGGCAGCCTCCTCTATGACTTCCTCCTCTTCCCCCGGCTCAAGAGTGTTTCTGAGAGACTTTCTATCCTCAAGGGAGCCAGACCTAGTGACTCCAACGGACAGCCTGAGGGTACAGGGGAGCCTGTGGAACTGAAGACTCAGGCCCTGTGAAACATCCAGGGGGAAAGAGGAGTAGAACGAGTCTGGGTTTCAAGGAGGGGCCAAGCCAGACCTTGGATGAAGAAAGAGACTGTGGGGAGGGGCATGTACTTCTTTATTTTTTAACTTATGTGTGTTTTTCAATTTTTTTTTCTCTTTTGCTGTGTGAAATCTTTCAAGTTGCATTCACGATCTGGTTGGTGCAAACTTCCCTTCCTCCCCACCCCAACTACCTTCGCCGTGTGCGTGACTGTTCATATGAATGTGGGTGCGTGCGTGCGGCTGTGTCTGAGTTTGGGGACACACAGATAGGGAACGGAAAAGAGGTGTCAACATGTTATGTCCCTCCCCAGCGTTTACCCTGCTTCCAGTCAAGTCTACGGATCTTGATTTTTGAAGGATCAGGGGAGTGAGTCACTCCTCTCAGCAAGCAAGCAGACAGACAGACAGACAGACAGACAGAAAGGGGGAGGCAAGGTATGCCAAGGGGTGGGTGGGAGGGAGAGGAATGGGAGATTTTATTTCCAGACCACTAGGCAAGTGTGCCTAAAAGTTTTGAGGGAGCTAAGGGGAGAATATAGCCTACTTATCTCAGGGATACTTGCCCAGAGTGTGGGGCAGGAGGAGCTCTGAGAAAAGAAAACATGGGCTTGAGATGCTCTGTAAAGCGCATAAATCTGTCTACTTCCTCTGTCTGGGTTGTGTGTTCATTCAGAGGCCTTGGACCAGGGACCTTCCAACCGAAATGGGGTTGGTAAGCCTAGAGTCTAGAAAAATGAAGTGATTTAAAAGGCCTGCCTGATAGCCCTTTGTAATTGGTACGGAAGCCCCAGCATTAATGACTGAGGCTAAAACAGGAAATCTGGTGTCTGAAGCAAATTTACAGGAGTTGAGGGGGGCAAGGTGGGGAAATTTATTTAGAGCAAACTGAGATTTGCAAATGGCATCTTTGTACTTTTATCACTAGCTCCGTAGTCTTTTCTCTTTGTATGTCCTTTTCTGCCAGCTATCCTCCCCCTGCCCCAGAATTCGATCTCCTCTAGCCAAATGCTTAATTCCGGACTTGGTTTTTTGAACCCTATCTTGTATTGTTGGTAAAATAGTATCGTCTCAGCCGGGGCGTAGGTAACCCTGAGCCGAACAACGAATATTTATTGCAGATCTTTCTATTCTGAACCTCCTGTATATACTTCGCAAGCTTAAGACGTATGCCTATAGTAAGACAGAGAACCCTAACCCAATCATCACATACACCACTCACCTCTTCTTCCAAATAAAACACAACTTTTCTAACTAGCCATCGAAGACTTCGGAATAGTCCACCTGACTGGAAGGGGAAGAATGTCTGTAAATTCTACTTTAACTCGACCTTGATTCTTATTATAATTCGGTAGAAAATCCATAGCGTTTTGGCTTTAATTTTTTAGTGCAGATGCCCGACTCAGATAAAACAATCCTTCTTGATTTCCCGTCTTATTTCATCACCAATTATCGCTCTCTCCTCGTTCGGAATCAAGTGGATCCGCTCGCCCCGCCCCGTCCGGGCTCGCCCCGCCTACGGTCCACCCCCGCGCAGTCGCAGACTGGCCGCTCCCAGCCGAGTGGCGGGAAAGGTTGCGGCCCCGTACCTCAGGGCCGCTGGCTCTCCGAGGCTCCGGGGGACGCGCGGAGAGCGGGTGAGTGTGTCGAGAGGACTGAGGGCCGACGCGGGCAGCTCCAGGATTGCCGGGCGGTGTGCGACCACGTCACTGAGGCCGCGGTCCCGCCGCGCGGTTTAAAGGCGGGGGCGGGGCTCCCGACGCGCACGCGCGTTCTGACGCTGCTTCCTGGAGGGCTCGCTGCGGACCAGCCCCTGCAAGCCTCGAACTTCGGGTAGGGATGGGACTGTGAGGCCAGGAGTTCCGAAGGCAGAGCGTGCAGCAGGTGGCTCCCGGGAATTTGCCACTTTGCAGCTTGCCATCCAGTCCTGACCCGGAGACACATCGGCTTGGGAGTCGTCAGGAGTTGGAATTCTCAGGCTTTGGGGGTTTTTATAGACGGGGTTTAACCCTCTTGCCCCCGGATTTGGTGAAACCTAAGGAGGATACGACCCCTATCGGGGATGTCAGCTAGAGTAACAGCCATGAGTTAAGCTTCTTTCTGGGAGTGTCATTTCTTTGATGCTGTCATTGGATTTTTTTCTTTTTGCTGGGACGCCCGTTGTGTTACATTTACTTTGGAACCCCATTTTGCTCGCTAACGGTTACGATTATTCAGGTCGATGTCGTGCATCCCTGACATTTTTCTCATCCCATTTTACTCCCAGCCTCAGGGAGAGGATGCATCACTTTGTCAGGTGAACTTGTCTTTGAGGACTAAGTGTGGTTACCCTAAAATTCAGTAATTTAATTTATCCAGCCCTCCAAGCTGATCACCTCCCTTATTAAAAAAAAAAAAGACAGGGTTCAGCCGTTTGTGCTTGTTGCAGGCCTAGGAACCCACATGATAGAAGGAGAGAACCAACTCCTTCAAATTGAGGTATAAACAGGAACACACACACACAGAGGAAACAAATACATAAATAAGAGGACAGTCTGGATGGATGGTGGTGGTGTACACCTTTAATCCCAGCAGAGGCAGGCTGATCTCTGTGAGCTCGAGGCCAGCCTGGTCTACAAATCTACACAGAGAAACCCTGTCTCAAAAAACCAATAAATAAATTAATAAAATATAAATTAATTAAAAAAAAAGACAGTCCTCTCTGGCCTGGAGTTCTCTATGTAGACCAGGCTAGCCTCAGACTCACAGAGATCTGTCAGCCTCTGCCGCCTGAGTGCTGGTCAATTTTTTGTGTTCCTGAATTATATCATACCTTTGTTTATTATCAGTGACACTAAACAGTGTATTGACCTCTTAATATAGAGTGCCAAGTGTTCAGAGATCAGAGTAGAGTCCCTTTCCTTGAGGACTCATGGAAAAATACATGTAGATTACAGGGACAAGGTGACAGGGAGTCCTCCCTAACTCCTGACTGTGCTTATTGCAGTATGTCCTGAGGACTCCAAATTTCCAGCTTTAGTGTCCCTCCCCCCCATTGTCAAACTTGTCTACTTTAGTCTAGGAAACAACATTTGTTAATCACCTACATTATCACTGGGATCAAGGACTTGACATTTTAGTGTGGCTGTCAGCTGAATTGAAGTAGAAACACCTGGAGAAACATTTTCTTTTCTTTTTCTTCATTCCATAGTGAGAATTGAACCTGAGGCCCATACACCAAGCCCTAACACTGCTAACTCCCCCTTCCTACCCTATTTAAAGGGAGAGACTCCTGAGTTGCCCAGTCTGGTCTCTTTTGAGATCCAACTGCCTTAGCCTCCCAGGTGCTGGGAGTACAGATACCTCACTACACCCAGTGTAAACAGTGTTAGGAGCAGAACCCAGAGCTTCCTGCATCCTGGCAAGCCAGCTGGACCCTATGCCCCGAGCATCTCCCAGGAGCCTTGTCAGAACACATTTGTCCAAGCTCCACTCCCTGGAAGTCAGTAACCATGCCCTGAAGAACCAACAATGATTAGAGACAAGTGGTGGTGTCGAACGACTTTAATCCCAGCACTCGGGAGGCAGAGGCATGTAGATCTCTGTGAGTTCGAGGCCAACAGAGCTACAGGACAGGCTCCAAAACTTCAGAGAAACTCTGTCTTAAAAACAAACAAACAAACAAACAAAAAACGGGGAGGGGGGTTGGAGAGATGGCTCAGCAGTTAAGACACTGGCTGCTCCTCTAGAGGACCTGTAACTCCAAGATCTGACACCCTCACACAGACATGCATGCAGGCAAAACACCAATGCATAAAAATAAAGATAAAATAAAGAAGTCAAGCTTGTGCTAGGTATGTAGCTCATCTGTCCTCTGGTGGTATTTACATTTTATGTACAAAATAAAGCAGATTGTTCATTGTGGCTGACTCCCTTCACAAGCCTTAGAGTCTGAGAGGACAAGAACTGTTGCTTTTTTCCAGTAATTTAAGTCATATCCCCGACACTGGAGTTACAGTTATGAGCTGCCATGTAGGTGCTGGGAACTGAACTCAGGTCTCCTCTGGAAGAGCAGTCAGTGCTCTTAGCCATCTCTCCAGCCCCAGCACAAACCTTCTTGCAGATCTGAGCAGACCTCTCTGTGGCTGCCACTGTACCTTTTCTTCTTCAGAGGCACAAGCAGACTGACTTGGTAGAGATGGATAGGTCTGCAGCTTGCAGGGAAGCTACAATCCCGACACCATCTCCTGGCCTCACACTTTTATTACATGATTGCGTCCTGCAGTCCTTAACTGCACATCTCCTGTGCCAAAGAAAGCTCCTGGAATTAATGCATCCAAAAATACATAAGACGGTGATTAGTGGAGGAAGAGAGAGTTGTCCTAGGCAATCCTATATAGGACAGAACATAGGTGTCTGTCTTGGACTAAGAATTACGTGCCTGTTCTGCAGGTGGCCAGGGAAAGACTCTGGAGGAGTGGTGTGTGAACTGGATCTTGAAGGTCACATGGGCTTGGAACTTGGAGAAATAACAGGAAGAAGAGGGGGCCTCCAAGATGGAGGGATTCACTATGAGAGGAGTTTGTGTGTTGGAACATGTGTGTTTATGTTCCTTGGTGAGGGTCTTAACAGCCAGGGAAAGAAATCAAGCCATGGATCTGAGCCACTTCTGCCTCCAAATTGTAAAGGGAAGAAGAAAAAGGAGAGTGAACTCTTTTCTTAAATTATTACAACTCTGAGGAGTCAGTTCTCACCTTCCAATTTGAGGTCGGGGTCTCTCTTGTTTGCACTTCTTATTCCAGGCATAGCTGGACCTTATGGATGGACAGACAGACAGCCACTACTACATCTTGCCGTGTGAACTAAGGTCTTTGAGCTAGTGTGGAAAGTGTTTTTACCTGCTGAGTCATTTGACTAGCCTCCTCTTTGTTGGCTGTCAGAACATTCGGTAGAGGAGAAAGAAGAGCAATTCAAGCAGATAGGGAAGGCAGGGTTGATGGCAGGGCCATGCGGCCGCCTCCCATCCCTCACAATCCCTCACAGTCGTCTTGAATAAGGGAAGACGGTCAGAGACCACGGGTCAGGGACCCCACAGCCGTAAGGCCCACACTGGAACTGAGTAAAAGCTTTCAGTAGGAATTTCAGCCCTTCATGATGACACATGATTAACACACACACACACACACACACACACACACACACACACACACACACGCACGCACGCACGCACCAGTGGTCCCCTGGAAAAGCTGCATGTGTCTTTGGGGAGAATCGGGAGTGCATGTACAGAAGCTGCCTCACCAGAGACCAGGTTCCTGAGAATGGGCAGCAGAGAAAAGGCTCCTTCTGACTCCTGGTCATTGAGTGAGTGTTTTGCCGGCTCCTTGTACTGCTGGGCTTTGCAGCTCAGAAGTAGGTGAGTTGGGGGAGGGGTAGGATGGCAGGCAATATGAAGACATAGGCCGGTTACATAAGTACAGCCTACGTGTAGGGAGGTAGCATCGACCATACGTACGTCTTAGGCTTTTGGAGATTTGTTGTCTACCATAGGGGTGGAGTCAGGGTGTCCAGCTGGAGACCACAGGCAGGAAAGAAGGTCTTTTTAGAGGACACTTCCAACAGCAGAATGAGGTGCAGCCGAGGTGCCTAGGGGACAAGATTGATGAGTAACCCTGATCTTCCACACGAGTGGGCAAAGAATGCAGGATATGTGTGTGGGGGGTATCGGTCACTCAGGATTCTGGGTCTGTGTCTACAAGATTACCTGGTGAGTACAGGGACCTGGACACATGGGGGGGCCTTGTTTCAGACGAGGAGAGTGCTGCTCCTGGGGCAGTGGCAGGGGTCCTGCTGCTGACTTCTGCTGACAGACAAGGAAGGAGCTTTCCTCCAGATCTCAGTGCCTCAGAAGCCCAGGAGATCCTATGAGGTGTCAGTCAGTCTTTATAGGGGTAGGGAGACAGCTCAGCTGACAGCAGTGTCATACAAGCACAGTGATCTGAATTCATGCCTCAGCTCCTTGTTAAAAAGCCAGGATGGTGCTTTGTGGCTCCAATTACAGCACTAAGGATCCCTAGTGCTCACTGGCTGGCCACCCTTGCCTGATCAGCTAGTCCCCAGTGCCAGTGAGGACCTTGTCTCAAAATGATGAGGTGGAGGGTCCTGAGGAGTGATATCTGAGGTTGACCCCTGGCCTCCACACACATGCACAATCAAGCACATACATGTACCTGTGGACCCCACCAGCCAGGTACACAAATCTCATGTAATCACTGTGTGGTTAGGGATAGGATTGCTTTTTTTCTCTGGTAGGGAGGGGCATATGTGGAGGTCAGAGGACAACTTGTCCCGGTCCTCTCCTTCTCCCGTGGGGTCCTGTGGGTAGTATTCAGGGTCTCAGCCTCGGTGGCAAGCACCCTTACATACTGAGCCATCTCGCTAGCCCAAAGCTAGGGATCTTAACTCCTGTGGTACATCTGGACTAGGGCCGTGTAAGGAAGAGACATGTTTCTCTGGTTTTATGATCTGACTGTAGTATGGGCCAGGTCTTAATTCATACATTGGAGTTTCTTTAGACTATAGTACATGCATGGAGCCTCCCTGAGTTTGATCCCCAGCTCCACAATTGATTAGTTAAAAATTTGTTTTCCTGCTGAGTGGTGCACACCTTTAATCTCAGCATTTGGGAGGCAGAGACTGGTAGGTCTCTGAGTTAGAGGTCAACCTGGTCTACAGAGCGAGTTCCAGGACAGCCAGACTTATTACACAGAGAACCCTGTCTCAAAAAACCAGGAAAAAAATATTTCTAAAAAAATTGTTTTTCCTGAGCGCGGGAGCATCACTTTTAGTTCCTCCAAAGGTGCAGCAATTCAGGGTCTAGCCCAGCGTCTTCTTGATTGCTACGTCCTAGCCTGTTCCTTCTGCTTACCTCACGGGGCTTGCACCCCTCTTCCTTGTCACTATAGGCTCGCCGTTTTCATCTGCTGTCTCCGCTGCCAGTCCTCCTGGCCTTGGGCCTCTGGTGTGTGCTTGACACGATGAACTGTGAACTTCTAGCCACATGTAGTGCCCTTGGGTACTTGGAAGGGGACATTTACCATAAGGAGCCCGATTGCTTAGGTGAGTGATCTTTTGAGGAACCAGGTGAAAACTCTTGCACTGAGGGCTGGTGACTTCCCCAGGCTGTGGGTATGAAGAGCGAATGACCTGGGCAGCTTCTTCTGGGTTCACAAGTGCTGTTTGATTCTGTGTGAAGAGAGCGTGAAGGACCTGATCCGCTACTTGAGGCATGAGGACGAGTCGAGAGATGTGCGGCGGCAGCTGGGAGCTGCGCAGATCCTGCAGAGTGACCTCCTGCCCATCCTCACGCAGCACCGCCAGGACAAGCCTCTCTTCGACGCTGTCATCAGGTTCGTTCCTCAGCCTCTGCGGTCTGCCGTGTGTAGCATCTGCTGGCAAGAAGCCTGGCTACTTCTTCCTTCACTGTCTCCCCAGGCTGATGGTGAATTTGACTCAGCCGGCCTTGCTCTGCTTTGGCAGTGTGCCTAAGGACCCCAGTGTGCGGCACCATTTCCTGCAGGTTCTAACTCACCTGCAGACCTACAAAGAGGTGAGAAGCCTTCCTAGAGGCGCTAGGTCCGCGTTTGGCAGTCACTAGCTACCAGCTGTTCCTTGTCCCACAGGCCTTTGCCAGCGAGAAGACTTTTGGAGTCCTCAGTGAAACCTTGTATGAGCTGCTGCAGCTGGTGAGTCTGCACCCCACACATCCTGCAGGGCAACGAGCCTTCACCTCCCCTAGCAGAGGAAGGCGCTGTGCCTGGGAAGGTCCTCAGCCCTTAGCGATACCGTAGTCTAGAGTTTCTAGCCACCTTGGGATTGCTTGACCACACCCCCTCTTTCTTTGCTTCCTTACTCTGGTTTTTTCTTTTTTAAAATTTATTTTATATGTATGTGTGTTCTGCTTGCATGTATGTATGTGCACCGTGTGTCGGGTGCCCTCAGAGGTCAGAAGGGGCATTATGGCCTCTGGAACTGTAGTTGTAGATGTCTGTGGGCTGCCATGTGGTGCTGGGAACCGAACACAAGTCTTCTGTAAGAGCAACAAGTACTCTTAACTGTGGTCTGTTTCTCCAGTTGTCCCCTGCCCCCTTTTTTTTGAGATTGGGTCTCATGTAGCTCGGGCTGGCTTCACACTCAAGTTCACTACTTCGCTGTGTAGCTGAAGATGGGTTTGAACACATGACTCTTTCCCCTGAGTGCTGGGGGGGGGCTATAGCCATGCCCTACCATACTCTGCCCTCTGCTCCATAGTCCTGGAGATTGAATCTAGGCTCTGATGCATGCTACACAAGTACTCTACCACTGGAATATACCCCTGGCTCTCTTTTATTTTCTGTTTTTGAGGCAAGGTCTCACTATAGTGCCTAGGGTATCCTTGAGTTCACTCTGTAATCTGGGTAAGCTTTGAACTTGCAGTCATCTGCCTCAGTCTCTTGAGAAACTGGGGTTACATGCCTGTGCCACCATGCTTAGCTCACTCTTTCCTTATTTTACTATTACTGTGTTTGTTTGTTTTGAGACAGTCTCTCACTTTGTAGCCCTGACTGGCCTGGAACTAATTAGACCCTTCCCCTGCCCGCTTCTGCCTCCTGAATGCTGTGATTAAAGACATGTGCCACCTGGCTTTTCTTTCTTTTTGTTTTTAGAAATTTATCTAATTATGCTGGCCGTTGGTAGCACATGCCTTTAATCCCAGCACTCAGGAGGCAGAGGCAGGCGGATCTCTGTGATTTCGAGGCCAGCCTGGTCTACAGAGTGAGTTCCAGGACAGCCTCCAGAACAACACAGAGAAACCCTATCTCGGAAAAAACAAAAAACAAATTTAATTATTTGTGTGTGTGTGTGTGTGTGTACACACCTGTCTGTCTGGGTCTGGGTATGCCAGTTTTTTCACCTTTTGCCCAGGGCTGGGAGGATCGGCAGGAAGAAGATAACTTACTGATTGAACGGATCCTACTGCTGGTCAGAAATATTCTCCATGTCCCAGCTGACCTTGAGCAGGAGAAGGTGAGGGTCTTGCAGCATCTGAATTATTGTGCTGGTTGGGGTGAGCTCTCTGCTTTCAGATTTTTCTGTCTTCTGACCAGTCTAGGGAAGAGTCTTAGCCAAGAAGTGCATTGAGGACTTTCGAGGGTAGCCGTGGAGCTGTGCAAGTCTTTGGAGGGTGTGTGGAGCTGAACATGTCTGTGGAGGGTGACCTTGTTGCTGAGCAAGTCTTTGGAGGGTAGCCTTGTTGCTGAGCAAATCTTTGGAGGGCAGCCATGTTGCAGAGCGTGTCTTTGAAGTGTGGTATGGAGCTGAGTGTGTCTTCCTCTCTCTTGACTGCCTGCCCAGAGGATCGATGATGATGCCAGCATCCATGACCGGCTGCTTTGGGCGATTCATCTCAGCGGCATGGACGACTTGCTCCTCTTTCTGTCCAGCTCATCTGCTGAGCAGCAGTGGAGTCTCCATGTGCTGGAAATTGTTTCCCTTATGTTCCGAGACCAGGTGAGGCCCTGCATACTCTCCCGGCCCCTCCATCTGTGCTGTCTGCCACGTGGCCAGTTGCTCTGGTAGTAATGGGGAATCACCTGAGGGGGCAGGTGATGGGTGCTGTGACTGTGTCTTCTGTCCAAGGCCCGTCAACAGTTCTGTATGTTTGTGGTTTTCGTTCCTAGTAGGAGTGATCTAAGGCTCAGACATGAGGGCTAAGAATCCTGGTTCTGATTCTTCTTCCTTGTTCCTAATCCAGAACCCTGAGCAGCTAGCAGGAGTAGGGCAGGGGCGCTTGGCCCAGGAGCGAAGCACAGACATGGCAGAGCTGGAGGTGTTGCGCCAGCGGGAGATGGCGGAGAAGAGAACTCGAGCCCTCCAGAGAAGCAACAGGTGGGTGGCAGAGCACTCGGCTGCATCTGGGGTCCAGCAGCCAGCACGGACAGTTCAAGGCTGGGAAATGGTTTAACACTAACTCACAGAGCTGCTGACAGAGGAGGGTTGCCTAACACTTCAAGAGAATTGAGGAGTCATTTTGCAACCTTTTGTTTCCTTGAAGGCACTCTCGATTTGGGGGCTCCTACATTGTCCAGGGGTTGAAGTCCATTGGGGAGAGGGACGTCATCTTTCACAAAGGCCTTCACAATGTGAGTATGCATATGCACAAGACGGGAACACTGGAGTTGCAGGACCTGAGAGGGTTCTGTTCTTAGACTTAGCGGGTTGATGCTGGTACGGTGTTGTGTCCACTGACGCCATCACCAGCACCAGAGGCAGAGATGCCTGTAGGCATTTCTTGTATGAAAACCGAGGCCAGAGGCTGTAAAAGAACCACAAGGGCAGTTCCATCAGGACCTAACTGTCATGTGTCTATCAACTGGTGCCCTCAGCTCCGAAACTACAGCTCAGATCTGGGGAAGCAGCCCCGGAGGGTGCCGAAGCGTCGCCAGGCTGCCCAGGAGCTGTCTGTTCACCGCCGCTCCGCCCTCAACGTGAGGCTCTTCCTCAGGGACTTCTGCTCCGAGTTCCTGGAGAACTGTTACAACCCACTCATGGGTGCAGTCAAGGTGAGAGCCCGGGAAGGACATCTAGACAATTAGGGATGGAACGGAGGTGACGTGACTAGTGGTTGGCAAAGAGGACACCCTGCCAAGGGGCCCAAGGAAGGCTGGACTTGTGAGGACCACAGAGGGAGTGGGTACCCTGACAGAGTGAAGATTCTAAGGAATGGGTTATTATTAGCATGAACAGCAACAACAACAAAACCCAGAGTTATTGATGGGACTGGAGAGTTCATCAGCCAAGAGCACTTGCTGCTCCTGCAGAGAGTTTGATCCTAGATCAGGTTGCTTGATGCTGCCTGGAGCTGTAGCTTCAGAAGGTCTGATGTCCTCTTCTGGCTTCCGGGGACATCAACACCCATGTGTACACAACCACACAGAGACATGTTAATTATAAAGTAAGATGAATCTTTTTTCGAGATGGGGTTTCTCTGTAGCTTTGGAGGCTGTCCTGGAACTTACTCTGTAGACCAGGCTGGTCTTGAACTCACAGAGATCCACCTGCCTCTGCCTCCTGAGTGCTAGGATTAAAGGCGTGTGCCACCACTACCAGGCGAATCTTTTCTTAAAAGGAGACTCTGGAGAAGTATCCCCAGAGAAAAAGGAGAAAAGTTATGAACAGACCTGAGAACAAGAGGAAACTGGAAATTGTGGATTCTAGGAAATCTTACATTGGTGTCCAGGGTCCAACCCCTCATCTCAGGCAAGAGCGTCTGGAAGGGAGTTAGAAACCCTGAGGTCACAGATGTCTCTTTTTCTAGGACCACCTGCTTCGGGAGAGAGCCCAACAGCACGATGAGACGTACTACATGTGGGCTTTGGCTTTCTTTATGGCCTTTAACCGAGCTGCCTCCTTCCGCCCTGGCTTTGTCTCTGAGACCCTCAGTGTCCGTACCTTCCACTTCGTGGAGCAAAATCTTACTAACTACTATGAGATGATGCTGACTGACCGCAAGGAGGCCGCCTCCTGGGCACGCCGGTCAGTGGGAAGGCCCTGGGGATCACAGTGGGTACCTTAGCCTACTATGAATCTGACCACCAGAATCGTGGATAATCCTTATTTCTATTTCAAGGTTGAGGTGGTCAGGCTAGTGCAAGGGTTGATGGGTTCTTCTCATTTTAGAGATACTCTTGGGGAGGGGTTGACACTGACATTTGCCAAAGCCTTAAGGTGCCCTCCATTTTGCCTGTTGCCCTCGTTTTACCTGTTGCCCTCCATTCTGTCAGGATGCACCTGGCTCTAAAAGCCTACCAGGAACTGCTGGCCACAGTGAATGAGATGGACATTTGCCCAGATGAGGCTGTGAGAGAGAGCAGTCGCATCATCAAAAGTGAGGCCCTGGCCTGGTCCCGACCTTCCCATTTCTTGTCTAGAATCTTAATCCGCCAACTTCACCTCTCCTTTTCCAAGCCCTTCATTCCTTCCTCCGTTCCCACTCCTAGACAACATTTTCTATATGATGGAGTACCGAGAGCTCTTCCTGGCGCTCTTTCGAAAGTTCGATGAGAGATTCCACCCACGTTCATTCCTTCGTGACCTGGTGGAAACCACCCATCTCTTCCTCAAGATGTTGGAGCGGTTTTGTCGGAGCCGTGGGAACCTGATGGTGCAGGTACTGGGCAGCCCCAGGATGTGGGAAGAGCTGTGGTGAAGGGCAGAGGGCTCCTTGAGTTTTCTACAGCTAACAGTGCCCTGCTAGAACTATTCTGAGCTAAAGACCAGAGGCTGGTGGCATTGCTGCTGTGGAGTTGCCTACTAGGTTCATCTTTAATCTGTCTCAAAGGGGAAGGTAGAAGGCGTCAGGAAAAACTCACCAACCTCTGCCATGCATTCATACACACAGATTCACATACACTATAGACACACACACACCAATAAGTAGGTCAGGCTAGTCCTCTATTATTTACAATTAGGATACACTCAAACAACCCATGTCACTCTCCAGGTTCCTAAATTAAGATTGTGTCCAGAATTGGGTAGTAGATGGAAAAGACAAAGACAAAAAGTCAAGGAAAGAACTCCCAATAATTTTCCTTAAATTAGAATCAAGCTGGTTTTCCATGTCAGTCCCAGCTGCCCCCCTCCCTGCCCCCACTGACCCTATCCATCCCCTTTCTGCTCCCCAGCGAGGGTGAGACCTTACATGGGGAATCTTCAAAGTCTGTCACATCATTTGGAGCAGGGCCTAAGCCCTCCCCCATGTATCTAGTTTGACAGAGTATTCCTCTATGTGGAATGAGCTTCCAAAGTCCATTCGTGTACCAGGGATAAATACTGATCCACTACCAGAGGCCCCGTAGATCAGCCAGACCTCCAAACTGACATCCTCGTTCAGGGGGTCTGGATCAGTCCTATGCTGGTTCCCAGCCATCAGTCTGGGGTCCATGAGCTCCCCCTTGTTCAGGTCAGCTGTTTCTGTGGGTTTCTCCAGCCTGGTCTTGATCCCTTTGCTCATCATTCCTCCCTTCCAACAAATTTCTATCTTAGAGACACAGAGATTTATTTGACTTTGTAAAACTATGCTTCTTTTTTCAAAAACTTTTTACATGGGTCTGGCAAGATTGCTCAGCAAGTAAAGGCACTTACTGGTAAGCCTAGTGCCCTGAGTTAGAGCATCAGGACTCACAAAATAAAAGGAGAGAACCAATTTCCCCAAGGTATCCTCTGATTTCCTTATGTCTGTCTGTCTCTGTCTGTCTCTCTCTCTCTCTCACATACACACACAAATAAAGTCAACTGAAAGTCAGAACCTGGACTGGAGAGATGCTTCAATGGTTAAGAGCATTGACTGCTCTTCCAGAGGACCTAGGTTCAATTCCCAGCACACACATAGCAGCTCACAACTGTTTGTAATTCTAGTTCCAGGGCTTTTGACACCTTACACAAACACACATGCTGGTAAAATACCAATGAACATAAAATAAAAATAAATTGTAAAGTATGTCAGAACTGAGCTATAGATATGGTTCAGCGATTAAGAGTACTTGCAGTCGTTGCAGAAGACCCCAGCTTGGTTCTCAGCACCCACATGTCAGCTCACAACTATCTGCACTTTGGTTCCAGGGAATCCAGCACCCTACAGGGGCAGCGGTCACATATGTGGCGTGTATGTGTATGTGGGTGTATGTATGTATGTATATAATAGCAAATAACTCATACACATAGACATTAAAGAAATTAAGACTAGCCAGGCAGTGTTGGCACATGCCTTTAGTCCTAGCACTGGGGGGGAGGGTGGGGCAGAGGCAGGCCCATCTCTGTGAGTTCAAGTCCAGCCTGGTCTCCAGAGTGAGTTCCAGGACAGACTCCAAAGCTACAGAGAAACCCTGTCTTGGAAAACAAAACAGAGAGGGAGGGAGGTAGAAAGATATTAAGGCTGGAAAGGGACTTGCAGAGGACCCAGGTTCAGTTCCAGGACACATGGAAGCTCACAACTGTCTGTGACTCTAGTTACTGGGGTTACTAATGCCCTCTTCTGACCTCTGCAGGTACTGCACACATGGTTGGCGCACATACATACATGCAGGCAAAGCACTCAAACACATAAAATAAGTCTCCTTTTAAAAAGGTATCCTGTCGGGTTGGAGAGATGGCTCAGCGGTTAAGAGCACTGACTGTTCTTCCAAAGGTCCTGAGTTCAATTCCCAGCAACCACATAGTGGCTCACAACCACCTTGAATGAGCTCTGATGCCCTCTGCTGGCATGCAGGCAGAAGATTGTATACATAATAAATAAATAAAATATTTTTTTTTAAAAGTTATCCTGTCAGAACTACATTTGAAAGGTAAACGTACCAAGAAGATTTTGCCAAAAGGAATCTTTACACTCTGGACTTTGGGGTCATTAGTAATATGGCCTTTACTCGGTATTTACTGTATGTCAACTGCCATGCTAAAGGTCATTTGTGTTGTTGTGCCTAAGGTCTCATGTTCTCAGTGTAAGAGCATTAGGAGAGAGACACAGAGCAGTTAAGCAGCTCACCCTGGTTTCATTGGCATCCATGTTCACGTCCTAGCCTCCTGGACCCCGGAGCCCGTGCTCCTCCTGCCTTTGATTATAAGGTGCTTGAGTCAAGCATGATCCCCAGGGATCCCCATCCATCTGCCCATCCTGTTTGACTTTTTTGGGATGGAGACAGAGTTTCACCCTGTAGCTAGGCTAGGACTCACTCTGTAGACCAGCCTGACTTACATACAACTCACAGAGATCCGCCTGCTTCTGCCTCCCGAGTGCTGGGATTAAAAGTGTGCGCCACCACTGCCTGCCCCACTCCTGATTTTCAAAAGTTCCAGGCTTTCGGTATGTATGCTTTGCCGTGTGTGTGTGTGTGTGTGTGTGTGTGTGTGTGTGTGTGTGTGTGTGTGTGTGTGATGTGCCATGGCATGTATGTGAAGGTCAAAGGAAGACTTGTGGAGTCAGCTCTCTTCCACCGTTGAGTCTGACTGACTGGAAGCACCTTGACCCTCTGCCATCCTGCTGGCCCTGCTTCGCCTTTCCAAAGGTTTCTGCTGGTTTTGACCCTGTAGTAACTCAACTCTCAATGCTCTGCACAAGTCTTCAGGGATGATGGCACAGTGGGGGAAGCCACTCTCCACCAGGCCTGACAAATGGAGCTCGATCGTCAGGACCCACACAGTTGAAGTGGAGAACTGACCCACACATGTTTCTCTGTTCTCCACACATGCAAGCACACATGCCATCCCCATGAACACACAAAACACAGTAATTGTATCTTTTGATTTTGGTTTTGTTTTTATTTAAAAAAGACGTTGCCACCATTGGCAAACCTGTACTTCAAGAATAGGCATTCTGCTCATCCTCCTCATAGCTCTTCCGCACTGTAATGCATCTCTCTTGACTTGCTGGTTTCTCCTGGAGAACAAGGAAACAGTGTCCACTGCTGTTTCCGTGTCTTCTGTCTGCATTCCACGTCACTAACACTGAGGGCAGAGACTTCTGTGGCTCTTCTGCAATTAACATGCAGCTCTTTCCCCTTAGAACAAAAGAAAAAAGAGAAAAAAGAAGAAGAAGGTTCAGGACCAAGGTGTGGCTCCTGGTAATGTCTCACATAGCCCTGGTGAGCTGGAGACCCTGTGGCCAGCCCTGGAAGAACAGCTTCTGCGGTGTGCCCAGGTAGGTAGTTACAGAAGCCCTATCCTTTTTGAGGACAGTACCCTTTTGTTGTTGTTCTCTCTCTCTCTCTCTCTTTCTCTCTTTCTCTCTCTCTTTGTTCCTTTCTTTCTTTCTTTTTTTTTTTTTTGGTTTTTCGAGACAGGGTTTCTCTGTATTGTTTTGGAGGCTGTCCTGGAACTCACTCTGTAGACCAGGCTGGCCTCGAACTCACAGAGATCCGCCTGCCTCTGCCTCCCGAGTGCTGGGATTAAAGGCGTGGCCACCACCGCCCGGCAAGGACAGTACTCTTGTAGCCAGTGTGGCTTTCTCCCGCTCTGCTCCCATGCTGTATCTGTCTGTAGGACCCTGAGTTCAGGACAGACTCCATCATCCCCTTTGATGCGGCTTCAGAGGTACCAGTGGAAGAGCAGCGAGTAGAAGCCATGGTGAGGATCCAAGACAGCCTTCTGGCTGGCCAGGCCCCACAGGCTCTGGGCCTCCTGCGCTCTGCCAGGTAAGAATCCTGTGTACCCATCCTCCTGGGCTCTGAGGGGATGGGAGTTATTCACTGGGGTCCGGCATTGTCAGTTCTCAGGAGAGAAACGTCTCAACAGAGGCTGTGGATCTCTGTATTCAACATTGGCTTTGTAGGCTTTGATTGGCTAGTTGGAACTTCTTGTTTTTAGAAGTGCCAGTAAACACAGTTCACAGAGGAAGATAATAAATACAATTCTACCAGCCAAGGTTCACCATGGGTAACATGTCGATGAGTGACCTTTCAGTGTCTGCTCTGTAGGGATGCTGTGTGTAAACCTACAGGCATAGAATACCTGCATTCCTCACTTGAGTATTTTTCTTCTCTCTATGCATGTATATTAGACTTGTTATGTGAATGAGCATTTTGCCTGAATATACGTATGTGTGCCACATTTGTTCCTTTTTTCCTTGTGGAGGCCAGAAAAGGATTTCAGATCCTCTGGACCTGGGGTTACAGAAGGTTGTGGGGTGCCATGTGGGTGCTGGAAATCGAACCTGGGTCTTCTGCAAGAGCAGTATGCCTTGTGAGAAATAATTCCCTAGCCTGTTTCATCACTGAGATAGTAGGTTCACTTCTCTTTTTAATTGACACAGGAGCAAATTTCTCCTACCAGTCCTAATTGCAACTCCAGGTTCCTGTGATTAAAGCCTTTTCTGTCTGTCTCCAGGGAGGTGTGGCCTGAAGGAAACGTGTTTGGCTCTCCGGTCACTTCGCCAGGGGAAGAAATGCAGTTGCTGAAACAAATCCTTCTTGCCCCCCTTCCGAGTGAGTCCATTCTTTTCCTGCTCTCCTCCTGGCTGTGGGCCACACCAGCGTGGCAGAGAGCCAGTAACCTCACTCTTCGTACAGGGCAGCAGGAGCCCATAGAAGGAGATGCGGACGAGGAAGAGGAGGAGGAGGAGGAGGAGGAGGAGGAGTTGCAGGTGGTGCAGGTGTCGGAGAAGGAGTTTAACTTTCTGGACTACTTGAAACGGTGCGGGCCGAGAGGACTGACTGGCCCCCGTGGGACTGAGCAGTGGTTGTCCCATGCTGAGTAACTTCCCTCCATGTTTTGGTACAGCTTTGCATGCTCAACCATTGTGCGAGCCTATGTGCTTCTGCTGCGCAGCTACCGGCAGAACAGTGCTCACACCAACCACTGTGTTGCCAAGATGCTGCACCGGCTGGCCCATGACCTGGGAATGGAAGCCCTGCTTTTCCAGCTGTCTTTGTTCTGCCTCTTTAACCAGCTGCTGAGTGACCCGGCCGCTGGAGCCTACAAAGTGAGGGGCTGCCGAGGAGTTGGGCATGGAGGGGTGCGGGGTGTGAGTGAGTCTTGAGAGGAGGCTAAGGTGTTAGGGTAGGGAGGTGAGGACAGTGAAGAAGTCAGCAGGCAGGCCGAGGGAGCTGCATGGAGAGCAGATACAGCCAAGCTGGGACCGGCGGGGAAACAAGCGGCGCCGGGTGTGCGAGTACATTTGGACTGTGGGGCCATGGTAGCTTGGCTTTCTTACAGGAGCTGGTGACTTTTGCCAAATACATCCTTGGCAAGTTCTTCGCATTGGCTGCAGTCAACCAAAAAGCTTTTGTGGAGCTGCTGTTCTGGAAGAACACTGCAGTGGTTCGAGAGATGACTCAGGGATACGGCTCTGTCGACAGTGGGTAAGCTGAGGGCTGGTGGTGCAGTCACAGGGCCGCACCATCTGCTCTAACAGTGCTTGTACTCTCAGAAGCGGGGAAGAGGCCCATAAGGCGAATGCTCTTCCTGAGGTTGCCCGAGACAGGAAGAAGGCTGGACCTACGTGTCCCACCACCCTAGTCTCCCTGTGTCACCGTCTTCACAGAGGTGGAGAGGTGGCCACTGACGGCAGTAGGGTATTTCCCAGAGACCGAGTGTGCTGGGAGTCAAGCCGGGTGTGGTGACCATGTCTGACCCCAGCTCTTAGGAGACTGAGGCAGAAATAGGAGAGTTAAAGGTCCCCCTGGACTACACAGCAAGTAACACGGCCACCCTGGTCCCACGAGACCTGGTCTAAAGCAGGACCGCTTCCCAGGAATGCCGTCCTCTGTCTGTCTGTCTGTCTGTGTCTTCCCAGGAATGCCATCCTCTGTCTGTCTGTCTGTCTGTGTCTTCCCAGGAATGCCGTCCTCTGTCTGTCTGTCTGTCTGTCTGTCTGTCTGTGTCTTCCCAGGAATGCCGTCCGTCCTCTGTCCTGTGGCTTCTGTCTCCTCTCCTTCACACTGCTCTTTTTCTCATCTTGTTCTTAGTCCTGGGGCGTCAGGTTCTGTAGGTCCCTAATCAAAACCTCCGATTTTGACGACAGCAAAGGAAAAGTGTGTCTTAGGCCTCTGATCTTGGCGTTACCTGCTTCATCCTTTGTTCTGAACTGGTGAGGGAGAGCCTCATCTTTTTAAACCAGTGGTCTCCATGTACATGTTCTCTTTCACTGTTCAGGTCTTCCAACCACAGAGCTGCTGCGTGGAGCCCTGAGGAAGAGGCCCAGCTTCAGGAACTATACCTCGCCCATAAGGATGTGGAAGGTGTGAGCTTTTGAGATCTCAAGCGACTGAGGAGGGCAGCCTGGGCCCTCAGACTCCTCCACATTGCCCCATTCCTTCTCCCACACAGGTCAGGATGTAGTGGGAACTATCCTTGCGCACCTGAAAACTGTTCCTCGAACACGCAGGCAGGTCATCCACCATCTGGTGCAGATGGGACTGGCCGACAGTGTCAAGGACTTCCAAAGGCAAGGCACTTGCTCTG